AGGTTTTGATACATTTATCATGATTTGATTTTTATTATGTTATCTCCAGTGTATTACATAATACTAATTATCAACCCTTTTAAAGAAAATGATATTGAGTTTATAAAACTTAATACTGTAATCGACAAATAATAAATAATAATAAATAAATATTTACTAACAGTCACGCCACGTTAACTGGTCCCGTGATAAGTTCGTAAAGAACTTGTGTTACAGGTACCAGATAACGGAAATAAATATAAGATTTTTATTATACACATATATTTAATATACATCCATAACCCTAGAGAAGACATTTATATTTATCATACAAATATCTTCCCTTGACGGGATTCGAACCCGCGACCCCCTTGTGTAGTGACCATGTCACTTAACACTACACCAGACGTAAATGCCTTCTATCTTTTTTATAACGTGTGTTTGATGTTAAGTGGTTACTGAAGCATACTGATGCTGAGATGGTTTCGCTTAAGCCATTGGCATAGAATGGCAAAAATTAAAAAAATGCACTTCAAATGATTTTCGGCTTCTTCGAAGAATTGTTTTGATAGTGATAAAAAATAAAACATTACTTAATCATTTAGGTCAATATGCACAGAGAGTGCGATAATGTTGAGTCATGCACGGTTCTGTGTGCGTCCCGTGTGCGTGACACGATCTGCTCATGTAATTAATCATTCGTATGCATTCTTAGAAATTTGTCATCAATCATCTACATCCTGATTTACATATAATTTCGTTACTACGTTTTAGAAACTGTGTGAATACCGTACAAAAATAGATATGGATATTTAATGAATGCTTCAGTAAATCAGTACTTTATATTTCATTTTAAAATAAATACTTAGAAATTGGGACGGCAGGGTAGCGTAAAACACGTATGAAATTGTTTAGCGTGTTTACTAGCTACTACTTTTAGCGGTTCAATTTATGCGAAAATATTCAATGAATTTATTTGTATTTCACTAATATATATTACTAAAATAAAAACTGTTTTTTAACGTAACTGTTTTAACATTTAAATATTGCGTCAAATTACTTAATGAAAAATCTGCGCTGCGGAGAACGTTGTGATTGAAATATAATAATACATTTTTATATTTCGTACTGCATAGGTGAGTGACTTCACGGTCCACCTGGTGTCATTTCGTGGAGCCCCTAAACGATACAATGAATGTTGCTACCGATCTTCAGGCATAGATTCGAAGTCTTGATTGTATTTTAAAACGGTTGTCCCACATTTAAAACCGGGCCGGGCCACACAAAGGTTTCACGGCAGAAATAAGCAGCCTATAATACCTACCCGTGCGGGCTACCGACGCTCCTTTGTAGTTGCGTCTTTTATGTAAAATTTTTCGGGTTTGATCTTTATTACACAATATCATTCCTTCAACTTGGAAGTCCTGTCTGGACACGTATTAAGTACGCTTTTGCCTTAAAAAAATTATTATCTCCGGGATTTGAATTTTGGCATAGTCGTATTGTATTTACACCGTTTATAACTACATATCGGACCACAACGATTCATCTGATCCCGGGCAGCTGTTTTAATAATGACCAATAACAAATTTCACTATAAAGTAAAAATCAGAGTAGGTACAAAGCGTAATTACGTAAGAGAATGCAGACTTGCTCGAGGGCACCTAACTGCAGACCTATCAGTATCACTGAGGCCAGACCCGCTAAGGCTTTGTTAACTTCATATCTACAGAACTTGAAAGTCGGTAATTGGATGCGTCGCCTATGTCTTGGAAATGCTTTTGAACGAGACACCTTGCCTTGTCAGGTTGTTTATTAAACTTATTTCATTAATGAATTACCTAACACCCTTTTTGTTGAAAGTTCAATGTTTAATTAAATGTTTTATTCGTTTTAAAACACTGATTCGATGATTTTTAAATTGTGTAAATTGAAATCTGGACTATATTTTCTAGTATTGGTTCTAATTTAAAATTACATTAAGCAAGTTTTTGTATAGGTAGTTACCATACTGAATATTCGGTGGGTAAGCATTCATGTAAACGCGAATGTGAGTTATTTGTAAGGTTTAAAAATAAAAAGGCTTTTTACTTTTAATGACGAATTATTGTTTAAAATCTCAGTTGACTATGGAATTAAATTAACCAACTTCCTTGTCTCTTTTTTCCATTTGGTCTCAAAAACTATACTTCACGTTTGGATTCACCTCTCCTACTACCTATTTGGAGCTCCACTATATTTCTACAGATAGTCTCTTAATTGCGTGATCTGGATTCATGACGCGCGACATGACCAAGTCGCCTTATGCCTAAATATGTAACTATACTTGAGACCTTAGACTTATACCTCAAGGTGCGTGGCGCATTTACGTTGTGGATGTCTATGGGCTCCAGTAACCACTTAATGCCAGGTAGGCTATGAGCTCGTGCACCCATCTAAGCAATAAAAAAAAAGTGAATGATGCTCTTCCCGAAAAAAAACAAGGTTGCGTTTTCAGTTTGTCTGCCAGTTCACTCTTATAAAATTAAATAATTGAATATAAAATTACATTTACACACATTTTGTGCATAAACACTTCCATGACATTGTTTAAAAATATTTTTTTCCGAGAATTTGCGTCAACGTGATCCAGCACTAAGCCTCCTTTACAAAATGTTTCGTTCTCACAATAATGACTGTCGAATATGAAGAGTATTTTCACCATAAATGAAAAGAGATACACAATACTGCCGAACGGAAATTTCCCGTTATTCGACACAAAAAAATAGACGGAAAAAAAATTACACTGTTTCTTTCAGACACATATTTTTTTGTGGAAAGGCTGTATTTTTATTGCCTTTGTAGACAGGTGAACGTACGGCCCACTTGATAGTGAGGGGTCATTTTCGCTAGTGGAAGCCAGCAATGCCACAGTCATACCATTAATTACCTACCGGTAAACACGGTGGGGAGTAATTTTATTCTAAATCTGGACGGTACGTGGTAAAAAAAGATCTGTGAACGCGTACTATGAATGAATACCGTGATTCTAGGATGAACTTGTGCTCCGGAGGCGGGAGGTGAGATTGTAAAAAGGACACCATGGGATCATATCAAACAATTTTCCACGTAAAAAATATATGGTTGAAAACACAGAGCCTCCGAGGTTCCAAACAATCCGGGATTAGCGGAAATCTGATCCTCTGATTGTTTTCCCCCTTGGCAATAATAAAGAGATCATATTGTTCAGTTTATTATTTATATAAACAGGCGTGCATTGTATATTTCCGTGATACACTTCTCGAAAAACTCATCAATTAAACGTCAACCTCTTCTTTTACATTCTCCTCCTCCTCGCGTCGTTTCCGCACTGCTAAGGGTCGTGACCATTATATGTCGATAAGATTTTGCTCCTTGTAATGTCCCGCCAGCGCCTCCGATCATTGGCCGCATAAATGGTACATAATTGTAATATTCACTTCGACGAATAATTAAAACTGCGAAAAAGGACAATCAAATAATTAGTTGAAATAATACGAAGAAAAAAAGTTATATGACCGGCTTAGAATTTTGGCACCTTGCATCTTTTGGCATCTTGGTTTTCGTTAAAAACAATTTTAATCGAGAAGTTCGTATATGTGGTTGACTTGCTTAATTTCTTACCAAAAACGAATCGAGTTGTTTTTTTATTGCTATGATGGGTGGATGATCTCATGGCCCACCTGGTGTTGTGGCTACCGGAACCCATAGTCATCACCAACGTAAATACCGCTACCCATCTTTAGACATGAGTTCTAAGTCTCAACTTTAACTATACCGCAGCTGCGCTACCGGCAAATCGATATCGATTACTGCCAAACAGCAGTAATAGGCAGAGCGGTGGTAGCCATAGGGACTCACAAGCCGCCCTATAACCAGTAATTACGCAAATTATAATTTTTGCGGGTCTGATTTATAATATACGATGTTATTTCTACACCGTGGAAGTCAATCGTGAGTGAACATTTATTAAGTTCGTATATCATTAAATTAGTACTTGTCTGGAATTCGAACACCGGCATAGTCGCCTAGCTCGATACGAAAACACCACGTTTTGAAATGACATTCCAAATTGCTTAACTTATATTACGTGAGCTCTACTCATCTAAGGCATAGCTAAAAAAATATTCATAAAAATTAATAAGTAAGCAAACTGTAAACTGCAAAATAACTGACGTGATAACGAAAACAGCGCTACCTGCGTGATAAATCCTTTATCGATACGTACTCGTCAAGTTCAGTCTAGAGTACGTTTTATCGCTTAGGCTTAGGTAGGGCTACAAAATAAACGGATCGGTCCCAGACAGCAATTACAGTTGCTAGGTAACCTAATGCCCCTCTCGATGGGGTGATGTTCGCCTTTGTTCCGGCGTCTGGGATATTTGGCGGAGGGGTGACGCTTTGTTTAGTGGCATGTGATTGATGTTGATTTACATTTTCCTAACGCTGAATGTTTAGACAAATTTACTAGACGGAGTCCCGATTCGTCGGACATAACACCAATCACAGTGTTCAATTCAGTTAAAATCGTTGTCAGTGTGTGTTTCGGATGAAGACAATATTTCAAAATAGCTCAGGTGTCAGACGTATCGAAGTCTCATTTAAAAAGACCGTTGAGAAAAAAATGGCTCTCTCCTTTATTGTCCTTTGTGCATTAAAGTTTAATAACTCGAATCAGTTACTAAAACGAAATAAATAAATAAATGTACATTGTACATGCGTTATATTTTGGCTTAGTTCTAACTACAAAACGAAGGTGAGGAGAAAATAGCAATGGAACTCATTTTCTTTTGAGTGTTAACATTTTAAACTTTCTAAATTCAATTAATGCTAGACAAGATCAAGTACACTCAGACCGTAATACTAATTCTTTTGTTTAAAAAAATATTCGTGAATCGATTAAAAGATATGTATGTTAATATAATCAGTTTGAAAATATATATTGTTAAACTATAATAGTAGACGCAATGGTAGACTAGTCTTATCTAAAAAAATGTTTGCAGTAACTCAAGATGCCGATGATGAGAGCAAACAGTTGTGTCCGGCGGATTGCAGCAGCAATCTGTTGCTGGATTGTCCCCACACAACTCTTTATTTAAGATTCCCGCACGATCGAGAGTTAAAGGTGAGTCACGAATAAAAACAATAATGAATAACTTTTTAGTATTTATTAATTAGCTGCTTTAAAAATGTACTGTGACCTAATAAATTCGACTTATGCAACAGATACGAAACCTCAGTTCATTACCTGCGTTAAGTCCCTTAACTATGGTTGAAAATTAAATGAAAATTCAGGTCGACCTGCCTGTCCGGGCTCTCCCAGGTAACCTAGCTTGCATACATGCAGCTTTGAGCCGTATACTTTGTGAATAAAATTCAATTTAAACTATCGGATGTTGCAAGCAAGCTCTGAATGAGATAAAATAACGCGAGCCTAGATTATGCACAGACCCTCTCGCGGGGGTAGGGAAGCACTCCCGTCCGATGACGCTGCCTGTAGATAAAAATCAATACATTTACTAGGTCGGCCATTACGGACATAATTTCCTAGAATTAATTTCCATAGCAACAGCCGTTCTTTCGCATACTAAGAACGCTTGAAATATTGAAGTGAATATCAAAGAGGGCTATTAAATATACTCAGAAATCTATTAGGGAATTATGATTTTCGCTATAATTTTATGAGTCTCAACAAAAACAAAATAATAAAAACTTTATGAATAGAAAAAAATATTCTTGTATGCTTTGATATTGCTACATACTAATAATTTAACGAGTGACATATGAGCAGCCGATAATTGAGTAGCCACTGGGAGTACAACATCACCAATTAGGCAACACCTCGGAGTTTGTACACGATTTTTTGCGCCAGATTTAACCCTAGTTGGCTAAGGGTTCGTGTTTGGTTGTTTTGTGACGTCGGATTGCTTTTTTGGTCAAGTTTACAAATAGTTGGCAGATTTTTTACCTCGTTGTTCCATGATTTTGTATATCTATACTAATATATATAAATCTACAGTGGTTTTTACGGATGTTCCGTTATGACTACTGAACCATGCATCCGATTGACTTGAAACTTGGTATCCGTGTAGAAAATACATGTACTTAATGGATAGGCTTATATTTATATAAATGTTGGACTTCCTAATGATAATGCCAATTTTAAATGCCCAGCAAAGCGAGAGTACAGCTAGTACAATCATATAACCTGTTAAATAGAAGTGATTTTTTAGAACGTTTTTTTGGGTAACAATAGCCGACTCACGTTGCGGGAATTCGCCCATGGACATCTCATCAGCGTCCGGTTTTGTTTTTCCTTTGCTCTAGGTCAACAGACGAGGTCACGACCTCTTTTATTTTTATTACAAACATATTACAAATTTTCTTTAGCCATCGTCAATACCCTTGTATACTTATTCGTTAGTTATCCGCGTCCCCCGATCACGGAGCGTCTCCAGCCTGAGCAGCTGCGGGACATCGTCTCGGCGCTGTTCTCGCAGGAGCGGGAGGGATTTGTCGCTCCCGCTATGGACGCGCCGCCGGACTACGACGGCGAGCCCCTGCTGAGGTGCCCCATACAACGGGGGCGGAGCTCTGTGTGGCCGTGCGCAAAATGTGCGCGAAGGACACTGCACCCGGCCCGGATGGTGTCCACGGCCGGGTTTGGGCCTTGGCTCTTGGTGCCCTAGGGGACCGACTCTTGAGACTTTACAACTCCTGCCTCGAGTCGGGACGGTTTCCTTCATTGTGGAGGACGGGCAGACTCGTGTTGTTGAGAAAGGAGGGGCGCCCGGCGGATTCTGCCGCCAGGTACCGTCCCATCGTGTTGCTGGATGAGGTGGGCAAGCTGCTGGAACGCATTCTGGCAGCCCGCATCATCCAGCATCTGGTCAGGGTGGGACCCGATCTGTCGGCGGAATAGTATGGCTTCCGAGAGGGCCGCTCAACGGTAGACGCGATCCTTCGCGTGCGGGCCCTCTCAGAGGAGGCCGTCTCCAGGGATGGGGTGGCTTTGGTGGTGTCGCTTGATATCGCCAATGCGTTTAACACCCTGGTCTGCTCCGTGATAGGGGGGGCGCTGGAACGACATGTGCCCCCCTACCTTCGTCGGCTGGTGGGTTCCTACTTAGAGGACAGATCGGTCACGTGTACCGGACACGGTGGGATCCTGCACCGGTTTCCGGTCGTGCGCGGTGTTCCACAGGGGTCGATGCTCGGCTCCCTTTTGTGGAATATCGGGTATGACTGGGTGCTGAGAGGCTGAGAGATGCCCTCCTCCCGGGCCTGAGCGTAATATGTTACGCAGACGACACGTTGGTCGTGGCCGGGGGGGGGGGTAGTTTTGCTGAGTCTGCCCGTCTTGCTACAGTCTACTTGCCCGGCTGGGGTGGCGCATGTCATCGGCAAAATCAGGAGATTGGGCCTCAAAGTGGCGCTCAGTAAATCCGAAGCCATGTGGTTCCACAGGTCCCGGAGAGTGCCACCTGTCGATGCCCATATCGTGGTTGGAGGCGTCTGTTTCGCGGTCGGGGTGCAGTTGAAGTACCTCGGCCTCGTTCTGGACAGTCGTTGGACCTTCCGTGCTCACTTTCAGAACCTGGTCCCTCGTTTGTTGGGGGTGGCCGGCGCGTTATGCCGGCTTCTGCCCAACGTCGGGGGGCCTGACCAGGTGACCAGGTGACGCGCCGTCTCTATACGGGGGTGGTGCGATCAATGGCCCTATACGGGGCGCCCGTGTGGGGCGAGTCCCTGGCCGTGGGGGTGGCAAAGCTGCAACAACGGCCACAACGCACCATCGCGGTCAGGGTCATCCGTGGTTATCACACCATCTCCTTTGAGGCGGCGTGTGTACTGGCTGGGACGCCGCCTTGGGTTCTGGAAGCGGAGGCGCTCGCCGCTGACTATAAGTGGCGGGCTAACCTTCGTGCCCGGGGCGTGGCGCGTCTCAGCCCCAGTGTGGTCAGAGCGCGGAGAGCCCAATCTCGGCGGTCCGTGCTGGAGTCATGGTCCAGACGGCTGGCTGATCCTTCGGCTGGTCGTAGGACCGTCGAGGCGATTCGCCCGGTCCTTGTGGATTGAGTGAATCGTGACAGAGAACGCCTCACTTTCCGGCTCACGCAGGTGCTCACTGGGCATGGTTGTTTCGGTGAGTTCCTGCACCGGATCACAGCCGAGCCGATGGCAGAGTGCCACCATTGTGATTGCGGCTTGAACACGGCAGAGCATACGCTCGTCGCCTGCCCCGCATGGGAGGGGTGGCGCCGTGTACTCGTCGCAAAAATAGGAACCGACTTGTCGTTACCGAGTGTTGTGGCATCGATGCTCGGCGACGACGAGTCGTGGAAGGTGATGCTCGACTTTTGCGAGTGCACCATCTCGCGAAGAAAGAGGCGACGGGGCGCGTGAGAGACGCACAATCCCGCCGCCGTCGAGTGGGGGCCAGGGAGGCAGATTTCGCCCAAGCCCTGGCCCTCTAAGTGTTTCGGGTCCCCCTCACATGTCTGTCTGGGGACCGGCGAAGGGGGCCTAAGAAGACGACGTGCAAGCTGCTCTGCACGCATTTTACGCAAGAGCATCCGGGTGATGGAAGGCCGGCTATCCTCGACCCACGCTGGTTCTGGCCCAGCGGGGTATTCCGTAGGGTAACCCACTCTAACCGGCGCCATCTAAGCGGGCTTCGGACAGTCTGCCGACCGAGAGGGCTGGTGGTCGTGGCGCCGACAACCGCCAGTCCGGCGTCCCGAGGGGGAGGGTGATGGGAGAAATGTGCTCCGCACTAAACGCTTTACTTTCCCCCCTTTGCCTTGTCATGAGTTCTGTCTCATGCGAGGTTTGGACGTTGGTTATTGAGCGACAGGAGGTTTTAGTCAGTTCGACTCCGACATACCCCGCCCAGTATCCCCAGAGAAGGGCGGAAGTCCGGCGATTTCCTCCTAACAAAAAAAAAAAGTTATCCGCGTTGTTTCATCAGGCCTTTTTTATTTGCTGTACCATTATCGTCTCCTTTAATTATGTAATTGTATACGTATTAATGGCAAAATTTGATTCGAGCCCTACACCCCAGCAGAGGGTAATAGGAAAGCATGATGATGATGATGATGATACGTATTATTATAAACGTTCTATATATGTATATGTGTGTATATTTTTTAGTGTTATTATTGCGCCTTCTCTAATTACTCAACATTACCTTCCTTTTAATTCTTATGCAGTATGTATTGTGTACTATGTATTTTATCCCTTTCACTTCGTTTTATTAATATTTTTAAGGGATATATACATAATATATGTTCAACAAAATTCGTATCGTTAGAATATATAAATTAATTGTTTGTGTTGTATGTAAATTTCTCGCAGGGCTGGCGATACATGATCAAGTTGGCGTCTTACAATAACGGTTCACATATACATCACCAGCAGCTCACCAAAGAGGACGTGCCGGCCGTCGTCGACAAATGCCTAAGTTTTATTTACGCTCACGGTGAGTGCATTCTTTATTTCATTATTTCATCAATTTCCCAATTCATCGTGATTTTTCTCGATTCATCGATCTGACAGCCAACCTGGTTGTTAAGTGGTTACTGGAGCCCATAGACATCTACAACGTAAATGCGCCACCCACCTTGAGATATAAATTTTAAGGTCTCAGTACAGTTACAACGGCTGCCCCACCCTTCAAACCGAAACACATTACTGCTTCACGGCAGAAATAGGCGGGGCGGTGGTACCTACCCGCGCGGACTCACAAGAGGTCCTACCAATCATACCAATTATATTCGTGTCGGTGTTCATTGTGATTATAGGTTAGCACTGCTGAACTAGTGGTTTTTAAATTCAGTTAAGGATAACTATTCTATTAACGTGATATTAAAACGAGTTACGCAATGGTTAACGCTGCTAGGGCAAGGGTCGTGGGCTTAATTCCGATTTCAGATAAACATTTGCGTGACGAATAAGGTTATTTCACCTCTGTCTGGCTGTAGACAGTATGACAGTATTTGTGTACAAAAGTATATTTATAACAGAATGCAAGTATATATATATATATATATATTTCAGTCATATTGTACAATCCTAGGTTGGGGACAGTGACCGTGTATGATTTATCCTCGATTATATTATTTTTAATAAACAAGTTCAAATTGTATTTTCGTATACATTTATATTTATCGTCTCGATATTTTAGTGATTCTAATTACCTTAATTAGCTTTGCGGGAGGGTATATTTGGTCTTTGTGTTCGTGTTCCAAGATGCGTCCGGCTACACCCGATAATATCCTAGCCGTCGCGGCCGTTTTAAATAGAATCTGTTTTCACAAATTTTGCTAGATTTTTTATTGATTGTCTTGTCTATATATATAAAAATGAATTGCTGTTCGTTAGTCTCGCTAAAACTCGAGAACGGCTGGACCGATTTGGCTAATTTTGGTCTTGAATTATTCGTGGAAGTCCAGAGAAGGTTTAAAAGGTAGATAAATATGAAAATGCTCGGAATTATATGAAAACAAACAATTTTGTTTTTCCTTTAATGTGTCCCTCGTCGGACGGATTCCTTTTGTTTGTTTTAAATTTATTTTATACAAAAGTTTAGGTCTTTTATTTATCGATTGAGCTTCTACGAAGTCTGCCGGGTCAGCTAGTCAATAATAAAATAATTTAATGTTTCCGAAGAAAAGCGAAAGCGGGTCGCTAGTTTCTAATAAATAAATAAAATAACCTACAATATTTCTCGTGTTTTTTTGATTCTGTTGCGGTTGAACGTCCTCCCGATGTTAAGTGGTTACCCACCTCGTGATACGAGGTCTAAGCCTCAGTTCTGTATTATAACGACTGCTCCACCCTTCATACCGGACCGCATTAAAAATTCACGGCAGAAATAGACAAGGTGATGCTGCCTATTCGTGCGGGCTCAGCAGACGGTCTGCCAGCAAGGCGAAAAGCGTTTGCTCGCAGCCTTCATTAACCTGGCTGTCATAGATGCAATCGGTCGTATACGCAAATATCAAATTAATCAATTGTGTTCCTTAAGAGCTTGAACACAATTTCTATTCTCCAGTACTACGCACGCGCTGAGGCGGTGGTGTTCGTTGTCAGATCACAATGAACTTCGCTAGTCTATTTTCAGTTGCAAATAAAAAATCAAGATTTTCCATCTTTCATCAATCCCACTCACTATTATATTCCTTTGCTTGTTACTGATATTTTTATATGAATATTTTTATTGGCATGTAAGCTTTTGTGTTGCAGTAATTTTAGATTGACATGTTTACTATGTACTATTTATTTCGTTCTGTATATGTATGTGGGCACAAACTCGCCCCATTTTTAATAATTATCGTATTGTTGTGCCACTCGTATCGCGGGTCTGCTGCAAAATATTTCTCGAAGATATAAACAGTGCCTTTATACTTATATGTTCTATTATTATGTAGGTATTTCTATGTTTTGTTGTGTTCATAACTAAATAATTATGTTGGTACGCAAATTAGACAAAAATTAGGACAAAGGTTTTTGATAAGCAGTATTTTTAGAATAAGCACACTGCCACCCAGCCCGTGATATTTAGGGTAAGTTTTTATTTATTGCGTAAACCGGTGAACGCGTTCACGGTTCATCTGGTGTTAAGTGGGTGCCGAAGCTCATCGAAATCACAACTAGAGATCTATCTATCTCTCAATTAAGTAATTGAGTCTCATTAAATAATATTATTAAATAATAATCACGTATGTTACAATTTTCGGCCGTATGATTTTTATTACACGATGGTATTCCTTCATCGCGGAATGAAAATATGGTCTGAATTTGTCGTATTTTATTTAGAATATCAACGTTTTCATTTTAATAATTCGATTAAGTTCTTAACAAATCTTATCGTAACAAACGTCGTAAAGATTCTATCTCTATTAAGTAATATAATCGTTCCGTGGTGATATTAAATCGTTGTTTTGATTACATTACGTGTACGGTAGGCAGCAGCTTGGCTCTGCCCCTGGCATTGCTGAAGTCCATGGGCGACGGTAACCACTCACCATCAGGTGGGCCGTATGCTCGTCTGCCTACAAGGGCAATAAAAAAAAAAAAACAGAACATGGTGTTAAGTTATAAATGTTCGGAACGTGATTACTTTAGTTGTGTCATGTTAGGAATTACACGCATAACCACATTCCACATAACAGCATTCATGTCCGGGAATGGCGTAATTTAAATTCACACTCATCACCGTCCAATTGATCGGAGCGCAGCTCGGTTCGCCTCGGTCTCCCGGTAGTCGAAGTTCGACTGTAATTAATTGAAATTGTAAGTTTGTACACTGATGATTCTATTGTCATAGACTACTTCTGGAATCACAAATTTCTTTAACCAAAACTGCACTTTAGACACATCTATATATTAATGCGTGAAGCAAAACTTTGTACCCCTTTGTACGAAAATTGCGCGGACGGAGGAGTATGAAATTTCCCAATTCCCCAGAAAATATAGAGAAGGAGTGCACAATGCTAATATTTTTTTTTAAATAGTGCATAACGGTATCTTGAGGGTACTCTCGTCGGCGCCTTGGTATACTCGAAATTCTGAAATCCACGAGTACCTGGAAATCCCAACCGTCTTTGATGAAGTTAAACGATACTCAGCCAACTATAAGAACCGCTTGAAAGCTCACCCAAACCCGTTGTCCAGCTTACTATTGCAGCCAAACCCGATTAGAAAACTCAAGAGAGCCGACGTGCTACCCTACTAAGGCGAGACGGAGCATTGGCTCTGTCCCTCCAAACCAATTGTTAAATCACAACTCACCTGATTATAGGCTTGGCGACTGATCGCAGTTGTTAAAGTAGAAAAATAATAATAATAATAATAATGCATAAAAGATACATTAAATCAAAAAAGAAAACATTTCACACACTACCATGTATTTGACACACACACATATACTCTTTGTTTATTGTCAAGCTTTAGTTAATGCTTAAACCTTGTGGTAAAATTGAAAAAAGGTTAATATTGTTTATCTTTAATATTATTTGTCTATAGTGTAGTCTTGGCGAAATCTGTTTTTGATAATATACCCATAATAATATTCAAACTTATGATTTCAATTAATTATAGTCGAATTTCGACTACTGCGGGACCACTAGTATTAATAAAGACAAACAATATTTATCTATTCTCAATTCAACCACAGACTATAAGCAATAAGAAAAGTTTGACAATAAACAAATAGTATGCTTGCGTGGGTGTGTCAAATACACGGTAGTGTGTGTAATGTTTTTTTTTATTGATTTAATGTATTAGCATTCTGCACTCCTTCTCTATATTCATTTATAATTTCATACTCCTCCGTCCGCACAATTTTCGTAAAAAGGGTCCAAAGCGTTTTTGCGTCACTTAATAATGTATAGATAATCTATAAACTGTCTAATCTTTGTACAGGAAGTCTCACTGAGGGCATATACCGTCGAGCGGGTAGCAGTTCAGTATTGTCTGAGCTGCTCGCCAGGTTCAGGAGGGACTCGTGGTCGGTCCAGTTGAGTCCCGGTCAACATTCGGAGCACGACGTCGCCGGTGTACTAAAAAGATTCTTTAGGGATCTACCAGAGTCACTTATACCTAAGGACAATCATCAGGTTCTGATCGGCGCGCTCGGTGAGTTGCTACTAATCTTATCTTTATATATTTATTACTGGTGGCAGGACCTCCTGTGAGTCCGCATGGGTAAGTACCACAACCCTGCCTATTGAACCGTGTGAAGCAGTAATGCGTTTCGGTTTGAAGGTTAGGGCAGCCGTTGTAACTATACCGAGACCTTAGAACTTATATCTCAAGGTGTGTGGCGCATTTACGTTGTAGATGTCTATGGGCTCCGGTAACCATCTAACACCAGATGGGCCGTGAGCTCGTCCACCCACCTAAGCAATAAAAACAAAGAAATGTTTTTTTAAGTTAATTTATTTTATTTGTACACCTCACGTTTTTATTAACAATAACCATTTTATTACAGTGAGTGATGTGTTTACAAAAAAATATTTCATTGTACCTGCTTAGGTAATTTCGCTTCGTATTACCTGTGGAAACACGAGTAACTCGATTGTCGATGCATCGTCGAATTCTCGGAAATATTGTTGTGACGTTCATACATGTCTACCTACATTGAATCCTGTAAGCGTACGCCCACCGGCGCTTATTGATTTTATGCATTACAAGTTTAAAGCCGCGACCATGACGTGCTAGCCATCTCTTTCGCGGAGATATAAATACGTGTCCGTACGCCGTCGGCGGTTCTAGTCTAAAAAGTTTTGCTACAAAACAAAGATATCGCAATATTTTTGGACGAAAAAAGCAACAGCAATACGGCTCGCTCTGCTGTTCGTCTGACGTTGGAGACTATGAAGCGAAACAAAGTTATTTTGGTTTTTTTAATTTGGAAAAATGTATTATTATTGTTACATCGGCAAACTTAGTATTTCCGAACACGATCGAAGACAACTAAAACGATATAGAGGCTGTTCTTACATAATTGGAGTGACGCTTTTTTTTAACGAGAGAATTAACGTCTCGCGCTTGTTAGCATTACGAGATACAAGACAAGTAAAAATAAACTTAACCCTTTCAATGTTGAGCTTATTTTCACATATTCGCAGAAATTGTTAGAGCATTTTTTGAAAAAAAGAACGTTATTTGAAACTTTAAATTAAAAAGAATATAACAATCAATGCTAAATTCACAGTAAAATATTTTTTATTTAAATGGTTAGCAAAAATGTTATTAACTTATCAAAAACGTTATACCGTAAAGGTCGATACCTAATACCTATAATCAAACTGCGTAACAGTCGGTATTCCGACGCTCCGCACTTTTTACCCATTAACAGAGTCGATCTATCGACAGTTCGCGCTCAAAGGGATAAACTAATAGAGTGATTACACAAAATCTGAAATCACGTGAATATCTGACATAACTGAGTCAGAGCGTTAGGTTCTGTTCTCACTCTCCTTCTTTTTTATTTGAGATCAAATATTCTTTATCGGATTATTGTCCGGATAATAAGGCGGCAAACGTATCGGTTTTCAGTGATCTTGGATCATGGCTATTATTACTTTATAATAAAAAGGCTTACATTTGGAGCTTTTTCTAATTTGAATTTGGAGGTTCGTCTGACAATTTATTCTGGTACAATGCTTTATCCATTTTCGAAATGTTAAATATTTACATGTTAATATTATTAAGGTAACAAAAATATTTTTAAGTAACAAAAATATTTATTGTTGCAAGTACCTATTCAATAGGACTGCTACTTATAAATTTATGAATAGGCCTAAAAGACTTAAGTACTATTTTCTAATTCTTTGTCCTTTGTTCGGTGAAAGCAAAAAAAAATCCTTTATAAAAAAGTCAATAACAAAAGAAAAGACATATTGTTTGTTATATAGAAGTTAAACTGAAGGTAATTCTTGAGGTGTTTGTGATTTATATATGATGTGAACTTATATATATATATATATATATATTTTAAATTACTTATAAAGTATGTAATTATAAATACTTTAAATTTATTTTTAGCTTTAATTATGTACATATTTATGCTTTTCTTTAGCTATTCATTTATCTATTTCTAGCTTTAGCTTAGCTTGTAACGATTAAGTATCGTTAACAGAAAACAGTTGTAGTAAGCTCAAGTGGCAGTGGACTGGTCACATATGTCGCAGAACTGATCAGTAATCGTTGGGGTAGACGCGTTCTGGAGTGGAGACCGCGAACCGGCAAACGTAGTGTGGGACGCCCTCCTGCTAGATGGAGCGACGACCTGCGCAAGGCAGCTGGCATTAACTGGATGCGTAGAACCGAAGATCGGTGTCAGTGGCGAGCTTTGGGGGAGGCCTATGTACAGCAGTGGACTGCCGCAGGCTGATGATGATGAGCAGAAAACAGTTTGCTATTTAGAAAAAAAACGATCATAATTGAATATCCAAATATGTACATTATAGAAATTGTCCGTTATTGTATACATGATTAGTGGTTTAGTGGCACTGGATCATTCCGTATCATTACGAAAGATGTGAAAAATATTTTATCGCACACATACGTGCATCCCCCACAATCGATGAGCCCTTCGGGCTGTTGTATGTCGGCAGTTTATTTATGAAATGTCGACATAGACATAATACGTCCGTGCATAGTGTAATGTTGTGCGTATTATATGTAGTGTATGTCTCCCGGCGATCACAGAGGGCGAGTCGAGACGGGTCTCGGGCGAAATATCAAACGTCGACCACTCAACTTGATCGTTAAGTTATGTTAGTAATACATGTCTACATTTTGTAACGTAGGCAGCTCGAAAGGCGTGTGGCGGCGACGGCTTCGTAATTGATAAAAATAAATTAATGGAATTTCAGTAACGCTTTTTTATAATAATTTTTGGAGTTTACTCCTTTAGAATCGATTTACATATATAGGCCCGGGGTATGAAAATTATGGGGACCAAAATCGTACTAGCATGTCACACGAAATGCGTTATGCGCCTGATTGGCTCCTGATTGCGTGATGCGTGCGCGCGCCAATCAGGAGCCAACGCGCGGCCGCGTTATCGCAGGTGACGCCGGGCTGCTGCGCCGGCAGTCCGCCACAAAGCCTCGTACTGATCGCGCGTTTCTCTCATTATTGTATTTTCATATATTTGTTAGTCGTTTGTTTTGTGTCTCGTTAATTTGTTAATAATCTGTAGTGTATCGTGTTGTCGTAATATAGAACTATTTCTCGTATTGTTTCGTTTAATTTTTTATATCCAGTAAACTCCAGTCGTGCGTCGGAGCGGACACACACACTTTTTTTTTTCTATTTACGATGTAATAAAAATACTTTTACGGTTTAATCTTGCGTTCTTATTGTGTACATTTTGAAACGTATGTAGTTCGACCGGCATCTTAATTGATAAAAATAAATTGATGGAATTTGAGTTCAACGTGTCATAATAATTATTTTTTTACCTATTTACGATATAATAAAAATACTTTTACGATTTAATCTTGCGTTCTTATTTTCATGCTGACGATTGTTTCTGACGTTTCGCATACCTTACAGTTTTCGAGGGCGCGGACGACTATCGATCGGGATTAAACCGTAAAAGTTAATTAAATTTTAATTACGTCTATGACAATGTTCACGATGTGTCTGTAACTGTTTATTAGAAATGAAAGATGAGACGTCCCGCCACGCGGAGTACCGCCGTGTGATGTCGTCCCTATCTCTGGTCCCTCGGAACACGGCCCGGAAGTTGTTCGCTCATCTACATTTCCTGCACACGATGTCGCACGCGAATAAAATGGGCGCAGAAAATTTGGCTTCCGTTTGGGCGCCCACAATAATGCCGACCGCTTTGGTAATTAGACGCGAATCGATTTATTTATCGAATAGCTTACAGGAGAACCATCTACATTCTTTTTTTAAATTAATAATCACGAATTTTATGTTTCTGAAGTATCTGAAAATATTGGTTCATATTGATGCACATTCATCCCAGGTGGACTTTAATGTCCATTTTTCTGATTTAAATTAAAAGCAGATTTGCTCTAGCCCCCCGTGTCATGTTTTAAATGTTTTTTTTTTACGATATCTCAAATACATCAGAATGTCTAATTTAATGGCACATGGTCACATTCACCTAAAGAAACAGTCGAAAACATTGTTTTAATTAATTTAAAATTTAGCCACTAATCTGTTCTTCGAAAGAATGATTGTCTCAACGAATTAAATTTAAATTGTTTTTTTTTTTTTATATAGACCAGCAACAACTTGCAAACGGCCTGGTCGTCGAAAGAGGTGCTAGTCGTTAGAGATCTGATCGCGAACTTCGAAGCGATATGGGAGCCTACTGAAGCGGAGAAGAGACGCGAGGCGGCCGTCAGGAGAGTACTGATGAGGGTGCTGAGTAATTCAGCTCCGGCGCCGCACAGGGCCGCCGGCGACCTCAAGGCCTGGATCCACGTGAACGACAGGAGTCAGTGCTATCAAGTGGCGGTAAGTCGATGTCTAGATGCACGTACCGTACGCTACTCGCTCTGGAATTGCCGAGAAGCGGTAATGCGTTTCGGCTTGAAGAATGGGGCAGCCGTTGTAAATAAAATAATATATATCGCTCATTTGGAGCGACTGTGACATAATTGCTAAAAAAAATTTTCACTTAGATATCGTTTGAATCTTTTTTTTTTTTAATTTGTCTCCTTTCAAGTCTAGACTTCAAACTACAAAAGTAAAATAATAGAGATATGTAGTCATTACCTGTCAGAAATATTTAAAATCCTTATCCTTAGAAGTATTTCGAAAAAATCTTAAAACTGTCATAGTGTAAAATTTACAAATTTACATTAATTACATATTTAATTAATAATAATAATAAATAATAATATAATAAATACTGAGACTTTAGAGCTCATATCTGTTTTTTTTTATTAGGCACACAATACACACCACTAGCTAAAAATATAAATAAGAAATAAGAACAGGTAAAATAAAAATATCTGGCTTGCAACATAAGCCATGTGCGCATTGTTGACTAAACACACGCATATACACTCTTTTGTTTATTGTTAAAGTCTGTGGTCCGGTTAATATTATTAGGTATGGTATGGTGTAAGAGAATTTTGCCGACAGTAATACATACAGACTATTGAAAATATAAGGTTATATGCAAAAACCGTCGTTAAAGGCCCAATGAACTAACTCCAAGCTATTTACAAAAATAATACCAAGAAAAAACACTGTCGTATCGTCTAATTTCGTTTAATAGAACGGAAACCGGACGTTGTGCTTGAGACTCTTTTTTTTTTGGTCCGGAGGAAATCGCCGGACTCCCACCCTCCACTGAGGATGGCGGGCGGGGTCGAACCGACTAAAACCTCCTGTCGCTCAACAACCCATGTCCGAGCCTCGCATGAGACAAAAGTCATGAAAAGGCAAAGGGGGGAGAGTGAAGCGTTTAGTGCGGAGCACATCTCTCCCATCACCCCCCCGCCCCCCTCGGGACGCCGGACCAGCGATCGTCGGCCACAACCACCAGCCCTCTCGGTCGGCAATAGACAGATTTAAAGAAAACTTTAACAGGGAATAAATTAGCGACAATGTAAACGATGCTGATATTATTCATAATTAGTTATTGGAGCTTTATACGCTCGTTAAAAGAAGTTCATTAAAAAGTATCGCTTATTTATTTGTGTCATATATAAGTGAAAATTAGTGCTTGTATGTCTGTCCTGTCTGTGTTGTTAAACCATTCGTCCGTTTACGGTGAACTAGTTTAGTAACGCAATTTATTGATAGTCCAAGGAAGGTTGCTGTTACAGTACCATCAGGGTACAATAGGTGACGCCCGCGTAGTTTCTAGAAATGGTCGATTTTTTTTAATGTGTGATTACTGGTGGCCAGAGGGCTTTCCAGTCTCTCCGGGACAGTTGGTCGAGCAAAGGCTCAGCCAGAAGGGGTGGGATTTACTAACAGCTGCCCAAGTGTCTCCGAAAGAGACCTAACGCTGAGAAGATCTGGCGAGAAACTCAGCGGGCTGATGCATGGGTTAGGTTGCACGTCGAACTCTTTGCAGGGTTCGACGAGTAGGGCTACCAGGGTCCCTAAGATTGCTCTTAGTGTTAGAGCTGAAAGGGTCTAATGCAAGAGTTATTGGATCTGATGGATCCGTAAGGACGTGATTATTTTCGTACAGTCATCGTTACAGCGTAAATATAAAATTCATTACTTTAAATCATCACGTATCAAAATACCGCACTATAATGTCATGGAATATACGTACCTTGCCTGCAATATACAGGGTGGTATATACAGTGTTCCGGCGGCAATACACGTGATCCAATCGATCGACGCGCACGCTCTCCCCCACGCTTTAGTTTTAAATTAAAACGGAAATCCTAGATATATCCAGGATGAGATTACCCTATGTTCCTTCCTTATCTGCATGTGAAAATAGAAACAACTCGATCGGTCTGAAAAATATCCGTATGGATATTTGCTAGCGACAAACAACTAAGATTTTTAAGACCTTGATTTTAACATTTGTAAACAGCATCTTTGAAAACAATATGCAACACCCCAGTGTATTGCACTAACTAGGCTACGAAGAAGTTATATTAGCGAATACGAAAAAAAAAACATCATGGTGCACTTTATTATATAGCATCGTAATATTTTTTTGTGGAACTTCAATGTGCAGACTCGATTCTCTTTACAAACAAATTAAAACAAAAATCCGGCTATATCGCGTAACTTCCGCTGTAGATAACTAATTAAAACCGACAAATTTACGTATTTATAATCGACTTGTTGATTAAAATTTATTTTTTATAATAAACTAGCGGACCTGGCGAACTTTGTTCCGCCACACAGTTTGTTTTAAACACGTAAACTTCAAAATTCTACTATAATTAACCATAGACTATATTACGGTTAGCTGTCAGTTGCGTTTTGTTATTCCATATCAACTGCCTTTTTTTATACCACGTTTTATGTCACGTCCCACGGAAACGTGATAAAAAGTATTCTATGTCCTTCTCCTGGTTCTAAGCTATCTCCCCACCAATTTTCAGCCAAATCAGTTCAGCCATTCTTGAGTTATAAATAGTGTAACTAACACGACTTTCTTTTATATATATAGATGTAAACGACCACAAATAAAGCAAATCACAAGATAATTGTGAAGTTGTCTATAAGTGTTTTAATGCGGTTTTTTTTACTACTACATATGCTGATAGCCTAGAGTCTAGAGGCTATTTCGGCTTCTCCTTGACGTCTAGGTGAGCTCACGGGGCTCAAACCGGAGTGTTGCTAACACTGGCCCTAGCAAGAGCAGTGCTTCGCAAAGTCTACCACCAGATCGGAAACGCGACCCACTAAGAAGATCCGGCGAAAAATTCAGTGGGTCTATGGGTTAGTTTACTCGTCGAGCCCTTCGCCCCAAGCGACGGGTTCGGCGAGGACGGTGATCGGTATTTGCTGTTACAGAACACGCAGTATTTAATATTGACGTCATGCGAAAAGGAGAAAGCGTTCTGTCAAAGGCCACGAAATTTTACAAAACTTAGAACGGCGATTTAAAGTCTTTGTCGTGTCATATAAATGTTACACGTATTTGTGTACAAATCGCGGTTTAAGCGAGAACACCCTGATTTTCGTCCCCTTCGTCGGTGTCATCTCGAACCAAAACCAGTCACACTGGAACGGGTGTCGCGTTACTGACGTATATGAAGGGAGTTGCCCATAAAATTGGTAAAACTAGACGGTATTAGGAAAATATTCAAATGTCGTCGTCTGTGACTCCCAAAAATAAAGTATTCGAAATGTTGGAAATAATGAACACGAAATTAAATCGTAAAATAAAGTTTACGGAATTTTAAAAAGTCATAGTTTCGATTCCCACGTCGAACAAACATTCGTATGATGAACAGGTTTATTTGCTATTTGTCCGGGTGTTTATTATCTATATATAGCTATTTACATATTTAAAGGTGTGTAAGTATGTACATATGTCAGTCTCTGGTAGTCATAACACTGAGAATCCTTACTTGGGACTGGATGACCGTGCGTGATTTGTTCCCCATTATTATTATAAATGTCAGTTATATTTAATTAAATTTCCAACCGATTGGTTTTCGAATCTATGATTTGAAGGCTTGAAATACAAATACAACTATATAATCGGTTTCAATATCGGTGTTTGGACCTATAAAGTTTTTATTTCACATTACTGGCCATTTCATAACGTAATTTGTGTATGACTGGCAATGAATTCTAAATCAAAATTGAATGCTTTTTAAAGATATGGTATTCTATTTTCAAATTCGGCCAATTATTATTGATGAGTGTTTTGTTTTCATAATACTTTTATATTCTTTATCAAAATGGTCACAAAAAAAGGCGATTAATTATGGAATACCGGTGTCGTCGCGGTAGCAATGCCGCACAAACGGCTCACAATATTAATTAAGTGTACGGAGGGAACCCTACAAAACGAACGCACGACTAGTTATTGGTTTGAAAGCTTCAGATATTGAAAAGTTGATCTAAAAAAATTAACCTCGTAGGTCGGCCGAAAACTAAAACAACAACGAAGAATTAATAGCAATAGTGGAAGTTGACGATAGAAAATCTACCGCTAAGTTAACAGCAGCTTTCAACATTAGCATCAAAACAATTTTGGTCCATTTGCATCAAATTGGCAAAAATACTTGATAAGTGGATGACTGTTTGTTTGGTCATCTAGTACCGTTATGATTGACCGCAACTTCTTGCCAAATGGCACCAGCATTATTTCGAATGTGTTTTGTGAAGAACTGGACACAATGATGGAGAAGCTTTCAAATCTCCGGTCAGCCTTAGTTAATCGCTCGTCCGGCTGCTCCTACATCCCTGCTTCTCATACCTGAACTTGTGCTGACAAACTTTTATTTTTCCAAAGCTTGGACAACTTGTCAGGGAAAAAAAATCAAAACCCTAGAGGCAATGCAAGATGCCTTTAAAGAGGTTGTTAGCTCTTGTACGCCTGACTTGAGATACCTCGAGGGGTGCACGTTATGTTTTTACTATTTAAAAAAAATCTTCAAATTTTTTGTACTAAACGACAATTTAATAATAAGAAGGCCTAATATAAAAGTGTCCATACCGTTATTTTTGAATATGACTTATTTACTTGTTATTCTTTATTGTAATTTTTCCAAATATTCGTTCAAAATCGGAAATTTTTTAAATGTAAAATGATATAAATCAGTTTTATTCATTTTAAATTCCATATTCAAACGCGCCCGTAGTGAGAACAGACCGTTCAGTGTTACCCGCAAAAAGTTAATTAACGATACGCCGAGGGCTAACCCTAAATGATAGAGCTTTTAGGCGTAAAAGGGGGGAGTGGAATGTAATTACAATATGCAGTCAACTTGTGTGCCGATGAAATTACAGAGTAGAAGGGAACTATTCTCGATGTCGAAACGATAATAATCACACGTAACGCGAAACAATACTCTGTTGACGAACTAAGCGTCAATAGTTCTCAATAGTGATCAAGGGCATACTGTGAGTTCACAACGACATCTGCCATAATAATATGTCTTGAAGTATCGTTTACCTCATTTGGAGCGTGATACAGTCGTTGTACCGTACAGCTGAGTGACCTCGTGTCTCGGAGTGGCTCTGGACTCATGACTCTGACCTCTTAAGGGTCCGCGCGGGTAGGTACCACCACCCTGCTTATTTCTGCCGCGGAGCATTAATGCGTTTCGGTTTGAAGGGTAGGGCAGCCGTTGTAACTATACTTAAGACCTTCGAACTTATATCTCAAGGTGGGTGGCGCATTTACGTTGTGGATGTCTATGGGCTCCAGTAAGCACTTAACACCAGGTGGGCTGTAAGCTCGTCCACCCATCTAAGCAATAAAAAAAAAGAAAAAAACGTTCTGCTGTGGCTATTATACGTAAAACCATCGATTTCTTGTATATATTTCTTGTGTTCCAACTAGCATTGTACGCAGGATAATGAGCATTCTCAGAAATTGTTTTTTTTTTCTTTAGCTCACCCCTAACAAGACAAGCTCCGACGTATGCATAGAGCTATGCGAGAAGGCCAAAACCGAATCGCATCTGCTGATGCTCGAAGAGGTTGTGTGTAACGAGTCGATGCGTCGTATAGTGCACATCGACGAGATCGTACTAGACGTGGTGCTCAGGTGGGGATATTGGGACGAGGACGACAGAAAGGATAATTATTTGCTGGTGAGAGATAATAAAACGCTTCAGGATATGGATTCGTTGAGACAGACCACGTCGCTTGTGTGCGGCGAAATGAGGTTCGCAAATGAATCGATGAAGACATTCAAACAGCACATGTTCGAGCTGCAGAATAGATGCTTGTGTTACTTCAAAGATAAACAGGTAATGGGAATTTTCATTATGCTCTATTTCGTCCATTACTTCAAACGTAACAATTAATAATAAATCGCGCCATCTCTCTCGCACCTAATGGCGATGACGTCATAAACCACAATGGTGTTTTTTTTTTTACTTTACAACAACAACAGATTCGTTTTGAACATATTTGTACAATTATTTCTTTTTTAGATTTTAAATAACATTTTTTTTGTAAAAAATTAAAATGTAATTAATACTTATTAAATTCCTGATAATGAATAGGAATAAACAAACTCTAAGTTAAATATTATATTTCTATACACAAATAGCTACATTTATTGTGGAAAATACTACAAAAAAGAAAGTATACTGTTTTTGACTTTTTACCGCTAAGCGCCTACCAGAGTTTTCGGGCACCGTTTGGTGAGTCCGCCCTGAGACAAGGTGGTAATGTCAGTTGTATTTAAACTGGTTTACTACTGGTGCCTATTTCTGCCGTGAAGCAGTAATGCGTTTCGGTTTGAACGGTGGAGCAGCCGTTGTAACTATACTTGAGACCTTAGAACTTATATCTCAAGGTGGGTGGCGCATTTACGTTGTAGATGTCTATGGGCTCCAGTAACCACTCAACACCAGGTGAGCTGTGAGCTCGTCCACTCATATAAGCAATAAACAAAAGTTATTAATATAATTGAAGTACCATATAAATATAATTGAAGTTCAATTAAAAACATCGAATTGCTGATACCAATACCAAATTAAACAGACCTTTAATTACAAAGATAACGCTTGACGCGTTTTAACAGAAATGTCGCTTAAACCACTTATCCTTTTACCAATCGATATAATCTACCACCAGTAGATGCCGGGAGCGATCGCATACCGAGAACTCAGCTGCTAATTCTCCGGTGAATTCATTAGTGACCTTTCCCGACACCACACAGCCAAATAAGTATATAACCGTAGGCCTTATTTGAAGTGTACATTTTCCAGGGTTCGCAGAAAATCGAAGAATGGAACGTCAAAGATATCCTATGGTACATCGGCCACGAACCGAAACGTAATCCACAAACCCGTTGGGCGATCACCTTTATACCGAGGAATAAAGAAAAAAGGTCAGCTTAAAATTGTTACATGCAGTCAATGTGTACATGCTTTGTGGACTAGCTATTACATGAGGTTTCGCTCGTGTGAAACTTTTGCACTAAAAATTTATAACCCTAGGGCAAGGTACCTTTTCCAGGTAATCATGTCTTCTTAATTATCCATGACAACTTTTATGAAAAAGTCTCATGATGATAGATTGAATAGTTATTACGAGAAATCGTAACAAACAAACCAACACACGTAGTTTTATCATCATACATTACTACTCTGTCAAAAAGTTCACAAAATATTAGTCATTCATTATCATAATTTATTTTATCAACTTCAAAGTATGCTCCTTCTGAAACGATTACGCCACTTACGCTTACGCCAATGGATAATTTAATCATAAAAATGTTTTTGAAAACCTTTTTTCCGGAATTGAGTTCAGTTCTCGCCGCGAATTCTCCTTTATATCTTCTGCCGGATGAAAACGGGTACTAAAAAGTGATAATAAATAATTTGAGTTCAGGAAAAAGGGAGAAGTCGCCTGGAACCATAACTCGTGAATAAAGTTGTTGCTTGATGGTGTATGTTGAGTTTTTGGTCTAAAATTCGTTCACCGATGGCGTTATGGAAAGGTGTAAAAGACAATAAATAGTCAACATGACCAACTTTTGACGTCGATCAAAAGTTTGGGTTCGGTTTCGTTTTTGTTGAAAGTCGCCACTCCAAAGCATTGACTAGTTTGCATGTCAAACTCGGATATCCACGTCTTGTCACCAGTAACGATGCGTTCCTTGAATGATGGGTCGGAATTGATACGTTCTAGTATGTTCTCAGCGAGTTTTTGGAGAAAATTCAGGTTTTGTGGGCGTTGCCGAGCTGCAACGCATACCGATGTGATTAAAATTGTAGCGAACGTCTCGAAAGACACAAAAAGTTCAGCGGCAGCTTTATCTCAAACTTGAACAAGGATTTTCAGTCACTATTTCCCTCACTTTTGCGATGTTAACTTCAATTCCTGACGCTGATGACTTACCAGAGCCAAGCAAATTTTTCATCACATCTCGCCCGGCTTTGAACGCTTTGTACCATTCATCAGCACGTGTTTCTGATAAAGTCGATTCACCGTAAGCCTCCTCTGTAATACTTTCAAAAATTCCATTGGCGCTGCAAAATTTAAGACAAACCCTTTGTTCGATGTTTTCAATTCTGAAATTTAAAATACACATTAGTCATGATATAACTAAAAACAGCACTGTATTTCACCTAAACGACAGATGCAACTCAAACTCCGCGCCAAAATGTAAAACAGTGGTGCCAATCTAACAACAAAAAAAATAATAAAAAATCAGCTTGGAACCATAAACAAATCATCCATTCGCGTTACTTTTTTTATTGAATGTACATTGCCGTGTGTTTTTATATATATATTTTTTTATTATATTTCGTATCACGCATTTTCGCATTGAACCGATGTTCGCCTGAAAGAGAAGAATATCATCAAAACCAACACAAATATGAATCCATCACGTTAAGATAGTATCCACGATGATATAGTAACATCGTGTACTAAAATTTACTTTTTATAATCACTATTGCGATGTGAATTTGAATTAGTTGCGTTAATTTTGCTAAGAAATTATAATATTAGTTTTTGATATGTGTCACCATTTTGCCTATTTCTGCCGCGTAGCAGTCATTTGTTCCGGTTTGAAGAGCGAAACAGTCGTTATACGATAAAATTGACACTCCGACCTCATGTCTCAATATGGGTCGCAGCTTTCACGTTATGCTGTCCATAGACTCCTAGAAAGCAGCTTACACGAGCGATTCGTGTGATCGTTGACCGATAAATAAATAGTTTTTCGGCCATTTGACCGGTTGCTTTATAAATAATTTCAGGAGCAAAGAGAAACCGTGGTTCGGTAAGACAATAGCCGGCGCGGTAACGGAAGATCAACTAAAGTGGATGTCGGCACTGATGTTCGCCGAGCACACGAGCATACTACCAACGCCTCGACTGGTTATAACATAGTCAATTATTCATAAAATACCTTTTAAGCATGAATTATCAAAAAGATGTACCAGGTCGGATATATTGCCATTTCCAAAGTACTTGTGATTCAGTGTATATTTTTCTTGGCCTTTTTTAATATATCTTTAATTATAACTTAAAATATTAATTTTTGGTCTGAATCGCTCCGACCTTGTGCAACTAATGTTGAATGAAAATAAGAAATTTTACTCTTGTAAATAAATAAGTATATTGTTTGGCCCGTGTCTGAGCTAGCTGCTTATCGAGACGAATATATGACGTCACATATTTGAAATGCACGCGATATTAGCAATCCGAAATCGGTCCTGCGATTTATCGTTAAGTAATTCTTAATTAAACACGTATTTGAACGTCATAAACAAAGATGCCACTATGTGATGCATTAGTTCGTCAATATTTTATTAAATCATGTAACTTTTATTACATTTTTATTTTATTAAAACGTCACGGATTTATCGCTGGCAATGATACGTTGCCTTTAAAAGATTCCGTATTGTTTTGTAACAGCTTCAAATCGGGGATTCCATCGACTATTTCCAATATCGCATACGATAGACTGCTGATTTAAAAATGTAAATTAAATTGTAAAAAAAAACATAATTTATCCCACAGAGAACCCGATGGATATTATTGAACTAGAAAGACAATCATCGAAACGGCTTTTTAAATTATTCAAGTGATTTTAGTAAAATTACCACAAAAAAAACCTTGCAGTCCTGTTATTGGCCATCGTCATATAAATCTTGTCTGCTATGACTTTAGCATCTCAGCTGTCAGCTGTCATCTGTCGCTCGAGCTAGGTTTCCATTACTATTCCTCCTAAAAGGGCCACTACATTATTATAAAACTGTCGATTGACTATCTATGACAGCATATTTTTTTTAATGTGTGTTTTATGTAAACATAGTAAACATAGAGTATAACTACATAATATGAATAACAAAAATTATCAGTACATAAAATAATCATAAATGTAATTATGTTTATTTCGAACGTCACAAGAGTTATCGAGTTCCTTATGATTTTGTAATAATTTTTTTAAAGAACTATCTTTAATGTTTTTTCTTTTTAATTAATACGTATTATATTGTAAAATAGTTATGTCATAGTTATATTTTATATATAGTTAGTCATTAAGTTCTATAAATCTATTTTGAGTTTCGTAAATACGGAATATGTAATTCGAAATGAACATTTTCTATTCGTGTTGGTTTTTAGTTTTCTATTAATACTTTTATTTGGTCAATATATAAAATAATATATTCAATTTTCCAATTGAGCGGTATAAGATTACTTATATTTTTTTGTATGCATGTTATATATCTTTATTGATTAAAGATAATATTACAGACTTGCCGTTTGTTGAATATTAACTTCGCTTATAGTCAAAGTGCGACAGATATATTTCGGAAAATCACTTTTATTTATAATACGTGGATTTTTACATGATTTTGGTAAGGCATGGCGCCTGAGTCGATGTGTTTCAATCTCGCTTTAAAATGACCTAGTGGAAAACATAGATATCTTGAAACGATTCGCGCGCCACCTACCGTACGTTTACGGCTTAATGCCACAAACCTTACTAGTGTGCTTAGTGCGAGTTGTTTAACGCTATCGATAGCGTAAAACTTAACTCAAATTTGTATGGAGTTGGAACAGCGCCCCTAGCGGCAATCGTAGGGAAACTTTCCGACTATTGCCATCGAGAACGTGAAAAAGCTCACACTAAGCACACTGAAGTGATGTATGAAACTAATTCACTATTGCTCAGGTTTAGAAACGCACATAGGCGAAACAAGCAAATACATTTTTGTTTATATCGATAGACTGGAAACAAGACTCACTTAACTTTTGAACGTTTTCCGTATTAATTGCATAATGATGTACATAATTACACATATGTGTATTAAACTGAATAATTGAATAAATACAAATGGTAATAAATTAATTATGTACTTGTGAGCGATATCTAGTGTGCTTTTAGCAAAATTCATAATAATCACTACATAGTATAAAACAAAGTCGCTTTCTCTGTCCCTATATCCCTATGTATGCTTAAATCTTTAAAACTACGCAACGGATTTTGATGCGTTTTTTTTAATAGATAGAGTGATTGAAGAGAAAGGTTTATATGTATAATAACATCCATTGGAGAAATCAATAATAAATTACAGTTTCCGAAGCGCTAGTAATAGATAAGTAATTAATGTAGTGTCATCCCTAGTATTCACGGTTAGCAGTCAACAATGTAATGAAAATTGAGCATTTTAATTTTACAAGACATTTATTGTCTCTCTTATAAAGTGATTTAGGAAATCAAGTGTTTTGAATTAATTATATAAACAGTTTTTAATTAAAACGAAGGATAGTTTCCTTTATGGGAACTGTGAAGTAGATCTGGCGACGCATATTTTATTATTATAAATATTTGTTTCGATAATAACGTTAAAATGATGTAAAGTGATCCCCTCTATGACACGGTAGATTGGTTCCCCGTTATAGAAAACGCGTTGTAGGAGTATTCTCACATAACGCGCTTGTGTAATCCCATATAACGCGCTATGCACAAATATAATATAAATCATATAGTTATACATTTACATTTACATACAAATATAATACAATATAATCAATGTTTTTACATTTTACAATAAAAAAATTGGGAACACAAATTTAAAAAAATTAATTTATTTAATTTTATAACAACACAATTGACACAATGTGAAAAGGTACGCAAATTGAATTATGAATCTTACAAATCATTATAAACTTCATAGTACAGAAATATTTATAACAAATATCAAATAAAAATATTTTATTTTCTACCTATGCTCATATAGCTTTGAGAGACTATATCAGATTCACTCTAACGTGTAGGTGAGCTCACGGGGCTCAAACCGGAGTGGTGCTAACACTGGCCCTAGCAAGAACAATGCTTCGCAGAATCTACCATCGGATCGAAAACGCGACCCACTGAGAAGATCCGGCGAGAAACTCAGTGGGCTGTATCTGTAGGTTAATTTACTCGCCGATCCCCTCGTCGCAAGCGACTGGTTTGACGAGAACAATGACCAGTTAGCGTATGAAATCCCCGCGTTGTATGTGGGGATACTCATGTTTGAAATGCGTTATAAGGGGGATTACTGTATCTATAAAATCAGCAATATACATATTCTCTAAAATTATTACATTTAATTGGGAAATTTTACTTTTATTTAAATTCCATCATAATACATAATACTACATAAATATGTATTATGATGGATAATACATAAATACAACATTGAAAGCATCCCGCTCGCGATTAGCAAGCCCGTCGCAATAACAATAATAATAACAATGTATTTAGGGCTACGTACATCGCAGTGGTTAGCGCTGCAACGCGAATATTCAACGATGACATGTTACCAAAATATATTAATTACATGGTAGAATATTTTAATATTACAAGTGGCAACACTAAACTCTGAGATCCCTGAAAATGGTCCCAAAATTACATACATACATGCTTAGAAAAAGTGTAGTGTTTAGTTTTATGTGAACTAGTGTGTAAAAAATTTAGTTATGTACTACTCTTAATAAATTTGTTACATACGGCAAGCATGCTGTATTATCAATTATTACAGAATATTAAAGTGTCAATAAATGTACATTTTACCCTACTTTGGAAACAACGGCATAGCGATGTATATCGGGTATTTTATACTGAAAATAAAAAAAAAACTATATAAATTTTATATATAAAAACTATATAAAACCATTTTTATTTTAATACAAATATTTTTCGTGTATTGATGCATACATAATGTGTGCATTTTGTATATCACTATGTAAGATATAGTATATAAAAATAAAATTATGGTAGGTATGGTATGGTATAATATAATAAATAGGAAAAAAGATTTAACTTTCGTAAAATATTAATTGTAGTCTAGTTGATAAAAGGGAAGGTCTTCCACCGAACCGGCTGTATTAGCTCGGATGGACACTTCGATTGTTCTTTTTGAGAACTTTTATGTTATACAGGGTGTAAGGGAATCTTCCAGCCAGGAAGCCAATAATATATAAACGTTAGAAATAAAGTGATGTGGGGAAGTACCACCGGCCTGTTTATTTGTGCCCAGAACAGTAATGCGTTACAATTTAAAGGGTGGGGTTGGTGAGTGGATAATATAATTCAGATTTCGACCTTATGCTTCAAGACAGAAGGGTGAGCGGCGGTGTTCTGTTTAATCAAAAACAAAAAACAAATGCATATCATTTTGAAGAATTAAATTCTAATTTTAATGCGTTCGGAAGTTCGTTAAGCCGCGCCAGTTAACATTAAAATGCAATTTATTTTTTAATTTAAATTCCGGCTTTGTTAAAAATATAATATTGTTTACGCCATTTTTTATATATACTGATAACTAATTCCGGTTATATGTTGATCTAGTGATGAGGATAGTGATCATAGTGCAGATGATAGTGCATCAAAAATCGATATCATAAAAGAAGAAAAAAAAAGTTGCTTTTAGAAATATGCATAATGCATTATGCATTATTATAATTAGTGTTGTAAAATAGAATTTACTCCCTATAAATCGGAAGTCGGAAACGCTGCGTATAGCTTCCGGCAATCAATTATCAAGTGCCTTTGTAGTTAAAAAAAGATATATTATCATAGTGTAGTTCTTCAGAAATGCTTAGTCCATCAATTAGACCATCTATAATGCACATATCTTACCATCCATACTAACATATATATTATAATATATTATCGTAATTGTCATCTATAATGCACATATCTTACCATCCATACTAACATATATTATAATATATTATCGTTATTGTTACTGAATAAACTGTATTAGGTTAAAGCGTTTCCATTCGAAATAGACTGAGTATTTAAACGAATTATTGAGATACGTTTCGTTGTAACAATGTAATTATATAGTTAAATAAATTGCATCGCATGTTTCCTAAAAACTTTCTAGTATATACATATACATATAGTAACGCAGGGTAAATGAAAGTAAATAAAAATGTTTATTCTACAAATAACTTTGCTTGTCGACCGTTTTACGCTGATATAGCCTCTCAAGGCTATCAGCTTAGGTAGGAAAAAAAAACGACGCTCTATTTAAAATCTCATTTTTAAAATAATACCGGGTAATGTTGTATGTACTCTAAAATATTATTTACTAATATCGGTCCATAATATATTATTTCTATCTATTTTACAGAAGTTTTTCGCAGGTTTATTATTATTATTAATACACATTTATTTAATTTAGTGAGATGTTTTCGAAGTTTGAATTAATTATGTTGCAATATTGTTTGTAATATTGTAATAGAAACTGGCATAAGATTTTAAATTTATTTTCTTAGTGAGTTAGTGGCATAGTTGAATGCGGCATACCTCACGTGCCCCATGCCGTTTCTTTGGAATGATCAATAAATTCCCAAATCAAATAGAAATATTTGCAAATGTAGGTACTGTTGTAGTGTAATATTAAAATTGTAATTAATCATATAACTGTAAATCATAATATATATTACTGTAGCCTTGCAGTGTAAAGATTTTTTCAAATATTGTTATTTGAATATAGAATGTTGATGTGAAATCGGAAAAACAATGCTTAATTTAATAACATATTACAAAAGTTCATATAATATTTGAATACGTTTTTATAATATTCACTTTTAGCAAAATATAGTATCATAATCTATTTTGTTATTGAATTCTTGATATATATACTCTTAGAATATATAATAATATATTACTTTAGAATTGTAGGAGACAACTTTGCTGTCTATGGGTTCGGTGTGATAAAATACTATTTTATTTTACTTTAATTACTTTAGAGGGGATATATTGTGGCGCTCCTAAAACACCAAAGAGACGGAACGTACGTTGCTGAAATGATCTATTGGATAACATTGTGACGGATAATTCGATCATAAACTAGACTAGCTGTACTCGTCCGCTTCGCTGGGCATTTAAAATTAACAATATGATTTCTCACCCCCACAAAGATTCTCATTATTAACGCCCCCGCAACTGGTGTAGG